AAATGTTTTGAGAATGATGAGGGCAATGAATGTACAAATGCGCTTTACACAACTGATGTGTGTATTGATTGTGGTAAGAGTTGTATGAGCCCCTAATAAAATGATTAAAATAAATAAATAAATAAAATAATTGGTGAATTTTCTTCTTAGTTTGGTACTGAGAGAAGTATGTTCAGCTCACTAATCTAGCCTTTCATTTTTTAAATCCTACTTCTTTGCTCTCTCAATGTAGTATCTATTTCTAATATCTTAGTATTTAATTTCCAGATTTCTATTTGGCATATTTGTATGATTTCCAATTTTTCATGTATTTTGTCAGATTGCTCTTGTAGTGTTTTCCTGGATTTTTCTTTTTTCTCTCCATAGTGATTTATATCTTTTTTACCTAAAAATTATTCTTCCGAATTTCTTTTCTGGTGATTACAATACCTTATCTTCCTGAGGGATGTCTTTTGGTTCTAGACATCAGCCACTTGTTTGTGCAATTTTACCTTGTTTTGTTATATAAACTGTAATTGTCTCTTGACTCTCAGACATCATGTGTTTTATAATTTGTTTATTTGTTGATCTGGAGATACTAGCATGAGTGATGGTCCTTGCCTGTCAAGTGCAGCAGTTAGAGGTCAAAGGATGGTTAAGTCATGTGGGAACCATTGTCTAAGTGATGTTGAGCAAGGCAGAAATGACTAAAAAGTAAAAAAAGTTAAATTAAATTTTAAAAAAAGAAATGACTAAAAAGTAAAGACATATCTACAACAGCAAAAAATAATAATAATAATGAAGCAAGCAGAGAGAGAGAGAGAGAGAGACAAAAAGACTTTAGGCTGGATCCAGCAGTTGAAAACAAAAGGGGGAAAAGATCAAAGCAGCCCTGGTAACCTCAGAGTACTGCCAACTTCCTTTAGTGCTAAGTGGGTGTTAGCCCCAACCTAGCTCCCGCAGTCCACCCCTCAAGCTCTGTTGTTTTGAAAAAGCGATGCATGTTCTGGTGATCTCTGGCTGTGTCCCCTCTGTGGCAGAGAGCCTCGGGGGTATTTGCCCCTGCCACTTCAGCATTACCTCATAAGGTACTTGCTTTTGCCACGAAACAGGAAAGTATGTAACTCCCTATTCAGAAATGAAAACTTCATGACTCACACCTAGTCTGGTAGCCCCAAGCTATTGGAGATGGCCATGTGGAGAGTGGACGTGAATAAGCTCTGCTCCACTAGCTCAATCCACCAGTTTAGTGGGAGGAAAAGGAAAGAAATATGCCCTCATGTAAACTGGCAATCATAGTCTATTAGTAAATGAGTGGGATCACCACCCCTCTGTGCACTCGGGAGCCCCACAGGACTGGGGATGGTCCAAGTCCCCACCACAACAGCTTCCTAGTGCATTTCAGCAGACCCTTCCTCCCAATCACCATCACTCCCCACCCTCACTCACAGCTTTCAGGATTCCTGGGTTGTTTATTCTCTATGAGTATGGATTCAGCTCACTCAGCTTTCCTTCCCCTCCTTAGAGATTTAGGGCCCCAAGTTTTTCCTCCATGCTGATTTCTTCATTATTATTATTATTATTATTATTTTGTGGATGGTTTCTGTAGTATATACATCTAAGCTACCATTTTTTTACTGGAGCTCTTTTGTGAAAACTTTTTATCATAATCCATTTATATTATGGCTGCTCAAAACCTACCAATCCAAACCAAACCAAATTTACTGAATACTTAACTAAAAAGAGCATGAATTCACTTTCCTAATTTGCTATCAGACTGCTATAGGCAAATATTTACCACCATTTCTCATAGCTTACCTTTATGTTTAAGTTCATTTCATTGTTATCATCAATAAAGCTGCTTTTGACCATTATGTTTTCCAGTTTCAGATCTCTATGTACTATATCTATCAAGAAATCAAACAACAAATCAAATGAAATCAGTAGGGAAAGATAATTACAGGGACTATAAACAGAAGTAGTACGTTTGACAAACTAATGTCCTCTTGAAAATTGTGAGTAGGGCCAAGTGTAATTCTGCTTTTTCCATTCTCTTATTTATAAACCTTTTATATTCATATGTCATAACCTTAAAGAGTAGTTTTCTTTGACCTCCTCGTATCTACCCATTCCCCCACTGCCCTCCCCCGTTTCTCTGCATGAAGACTGGCCTGGTGGGCAGGAGGAAGTATCCTGCCCAGGTTAAGTATTCCAAGGCTGACGGAGACAACCTTAGACCCAAGCCTAAAAATGTTTCCCACATCCTTATATATTCAAAGGGTCACTAAGACTCAGAAGTAACTCAATGGCAGTGAGTTTCTCAAATAGAAAAGTACTTCTTTACTTTTCTGCTAATATTTGCTGCCAATATGAACATTTAGCATATTGCAACCTGGTTACATATATCCAATGCTATGGAGGCAATCCTGACTGATAATGATCCTATAGGACAGGACAGAACTGGCTCCTGTGGGATTCCAAAACTGTAACTCTTTGTGCGAGTAAAAAAACCTCATCTTTTTCCCCTGGAGTAGCTGTAGTTTTGAACTGCTGAACTTGTGGTTAGCAGGCCAATGTGTAACCACTACATCACTAGAGCTCCTCTGGTTACATAAAAATCAAACCAAACTTACTGCCATAAAATCAACTATGACTCATGGCAACTCTATAGTGCAGAGTAGAACTTCTCCTATGGGTTTCCAAGACTGTAACTTTCTTTTTCAAATTAATAAATCATTTTACTGGGGGCGCTTAGAGTTCTTATAACAATTCATACATCAATTGTATCAAACACATTTGTACATATGTTTCCCTCATTTTCAAAACATTTTTCTGCTTGAGCCCTTGGTATCAGCTCCTCTTTTTATCCTCCCACCCTCATGGCGCCCTGATAAATTATAAATTTTTTTTGTTATTTTACACTGTCCACTGTCTCCCTTCACCCACGTTTCTGTTGTTCGTCCACCTGGGGGTGGAGGTGAGGTGGGTTATACATCAGTCGTTATAGTCAGTTCCCATTTCTCCCCTTTCTCCCCCTACCATCCTCCTGCCTTCATGGTATTGCTACTCTCATTACTGTTCCTGAAGGGTTTATCTGTCCTGGATTCCGTGTGTCAAGAGTCATCTGTACCAGTGTACGCGGTCCGGTATATCTGGATTTGTTAGGTAGAACTGGGGTCATGATAGTGGGGGTTAAGGTGAGGAAACACTGAAGAACTAGAATCATGTTGTGTGTTCCATCAATGTTATGCTGCATCCTGGCTGCCTCGTTCTTTCCCCTGGTAGCCCTGTGACTCTTCTGGGAGGAAATGTCCAATTGTCTACAGATATTCTTTGGGTCTCCACTCCGACCCCATCATTTTCAAGGTATATTTGTTTGTTTGGGGTCTTCTGATACCTGTTCCCATCAACACCTTGTGATCACATAGGCTGGTGTGCTTCTTCCATGTGGGCTTTGTTGCTTCCCTGCTAAATGGCTGCTTGTTTAACTTCAAGCCTTTAAGACCCCAGATGCTATATTTTTTAATAGCCAGGTACCATCAGTTTTCTTTACCACATTTACTTATGCACCCATTTTGACTTCAGCGATCTTGTTGGGAAGGTGAGCATCAAAGAATGCCAGGTTATTAGAACAAAATGTTCCTGCATTGAGGAAGTACGTGAGTAGAGACCCAATGCCAGTCTACTACCTTAATACTTAATATTTAAATATATGTACATAGACCTATCTCCCTATCATTATATATGTGTTTACATATGTGCATGCCTATATTTATACCTGTATAAATGTCTTTAGCCTCCTAGTTCTTTCCTCTATTTCTTTTTACTTTCTTCCTGTCCCACTATCATGTTCAATCTTCACTCAACTCTCAGTACTTTCTTTCAGTGACACTGGACTTGATCAAATCCCATCAGGTATTCTACACCCTCCTTGCCATCGATTTTAGATCTCTTATTGTTCCCTTATCCCTGGGTTTGTTGGCTCCCCGCTCCCTTTCCACCACCTCTTCCTCTCCCATGTCCGCCCGGAGCTATTGGCCCATAGTTTTCTCCTAGGGATTGGTTATCCTGCCTATCCTATAGTGATAGACATGAGGAAAAAAGGAAGGGGGGGGGGGGCCGTAAAAGAGAATAAAAAAGAAAAGCCTATAAATTGTTCCAGTCTGTCTGCTGCCCCTTCAGAATGTCTTCCAATAGGATCTGGTAAAGTGTCATGCCCTGCCCACTGATTCCAAGGTCTTATTTTTGGATTCCTCGGGTACTTCCTTGCTTTGCTCCCCTTGCTGCTCTGTGGCACAGCCTTTGTGTTTTGCTCTGGTGTGGGGGAGGAGGGGTGTCAGACTGGGCACACTTCCCACACTGTATCTCCAACGCTGCCCCCTGTAGCTCTATGGGTCAGTGAGGGGTTGTGTCTCATGGTGGGGCCAGCCCCACAGTCCTCTCATTGCATTTCCTGCTCTGAGCAGGAATGTCATCCTCAAGGCTTGGTTTTGGTGGGCCAGGATGCAGTCCTCTCTCTCTCTCTCTCTCTGTCCCTCTTTGTTTGCTCCCATGTGGTCTGGGCAGACCTGCCACTCTCCCCAGGCTGTATCTTCAGTGCTGTATCTTCAGTGATGTTCAGAGGGTTTAGACTGCAACTTTTTACAAGAGTAGAAAGCCCCATCTTTCTCTGATGGGAGTGGCTGGTGGTTTTGAACTGCTGACCTCGCAATTAGCAGCCCAATGAATAACCCCTATACCACTGGGGCTCCAATCTGGTTACATTCATAAATTATATTCATTTTTCACCACTTGACCACTTGTAGCTCAGTTCATTGTACTATTGTCACTTGCATATGTGGCTGTAGTGCTAAAAGCTATGTCACTGGTATTTCGAATACCAGCAAAGTCACCCATGGGGAACAAGTTTTAACAGAGCTTCCAGACTGAAAAGACTATAAAAAAAAAAAACCAGGCCGTCCACTTCTGAGGATTTAGTCGATGAAAACCTTATGAAGAGCAGCTGCAGACTGCCAGATATTGAAAAATGCCACAAATAACAGCAGGACACTGTCTGATATAGTCCAAGACGATGAGCCCCTCAGGTGAGAAGGAACTCAGATTAAATGGGAGAAGAGCTACCTTCTCAAAACAGAGTCTACCATAATGATATGGATGGAGTTAAAGCTTTTGCACCTCCATGTGCTGATGGGGCAGGACCAAAATAAGACTGCTACAAACATCTATTAATAAATAGAACTTGGACTGCAAATCACATGAATCTAGGAAAACAGGAAGTCATCAAAAATGTAATCAAGCACATAAATATTAAGTTAAATGGACTGGGACTGACCATTATTAACCAGGTAACTATAGGGCTTCCTATGCTGGTAATGAAAAATTCAGGAAGAATGGCATGACATTCATTGTCAAAAAGGACATTTCAAGATCTATCTTGAAGTACAATACTGTTCATGATAAGATAATATCTATAAGTACACAATGAAGTCCACTTAATACAATTACTATTCAAATTTACAAAACAACCACTAAAGCTAATAAAGAAATTGAAAATCCTACCAACTTTTTTAGTTTAAAATTGATCAAAGATGCATTATAGTTATTGGCGATTAGAATGTGAATGTTATAAAAAGAAGAATAGCTATTGGGAAATATGACCTGGGTGACAGAAATATAGCTGGAGATTGCATGATATCATTTTGCAAGGTCAATGACTTCATCGCAAACACATTTTTTTTCAATGACATAAACAGCAACTATGCATGTGGACTGCTCCAGATAGGATGCAAATAAATCATATGGACTACATCTGTGGGAAGAGACCATGAAGAAGCTTACTATCAGCAGCCAAAATCAGGTTGGGCGCTGACTGAACAACACATTCATTAATTGTTCATATGTAAGTTCAAGCGGAAGTTGAAGAAAATTGAAACAAGTCCATGAGAGTCAAAATATGACCTCAAGTATATTCCCCATGAATTTCTGGAGTATCCCTAAAATATATTTGAGTCTTTTGATACTAATGACGAGAGCTGACCAGCTGTGGGCTGTTACCAAGAACATCATACATGAGGAAAGCAGTCATTTACGAGATCAAGGTGGATGTCAGAAGTGACTCTGACACTTGCTCTTCAGTCTACAGTAGCTAAAACAAATGGAAGAAATTATGGAAAAGAGCCGAACAGAAACTCCAGGAACTGATACTCATGGAAATAGCAGTCAAGACATCCAAGGATGCATTGTACTGGCTAAGTCTGCTGCACCAGATTTCTTTAAGGGTGAGAGCGCAAGGGTGCACTTTGAGGATAAGGTGCACCTGACCCAAGTCATGCCGTTTTCAATTGCTCCTTATGCACGTGAAATGTGGACGCTGAAGAAGGAAGACTGGAGAAGAATCTATGCCTGTGAACTGTGGTGCTGGTGAAGACTAGTGAACCTGCCAAAGGAACAAACAAAGCTGTCTCGGAAGAAGCACTGCCAGAAACTGAGGATGCCGAGGTTTTTCCTCACATATTTCAGATATGGGAGAGAACAGCCCCTGGACAAGGACATCATGCTCGGCAGAGGAGGACAGTGAAAAAGGACAAGACCCTCCAAGAGGTGAACTGACATGGTGGCTGCAACAAGGGGCGCCAGCAAAACCACCCTGGGGAGGGCGGCCCAGGGCGGGCGGTGTTCTAGTCTGTTGTGCACAGGGCGGCTGTGAGTCAGAATGGGCTCAATGGACAACATCAACAAACATCTCCCTACATTTTATTGACTTATTAATTTTTTAATCAATCAAAAAAAATTCCCTGGGATGTGTCAGAGCACAGATAGGATATTTACGTGCATGCAAATAATCATCTACCAATCTTCTTCTGCAAATAGCAAGTTCAGTTCATATCCATAATGATCATTTCCATAGGTTTAAAAAGCTATTTGTATGATTGTAAGGGAAATGTAGTTGAGTGAGCCCTGGACTGGAAATTATACCTCTTTATTGTTTCCTTACTTAGTCCCCAGTTTCGTTTTTGAAATCTTTATTGTCTCTATTGCTCTGTTTTTCTCTTCATAGATAAATAAAAGTTTACAATATATTTTTATCCTTGGGAGGGCAAGCCCCCGTCTCCACTGCTCTTTTTTATTATCTTCTTGGCTATTCTCACCTATGTCCAAATAATCTTAAGCAGCTTCCATGAAAAATCCTGTTATGTTTTGTTTGGAATTGTACTGCATTTATGGCTCAATGTGGGAGAAATGGCACTAGCCCACTATTCAGGTTTCAGCTTCCTATCCTTGTAAAAATTGTTTTCATGCCAAGAAAGCTCTCCTTTTCCCCCTGACTTCTTATTCCTCAACCCCACCATTGCTTCCTGTGTGAATTCTCCCGGCTTTCCAAAGCAAATGAAGCACTTACACTACTCCTAGAGTCCTTGATCCTTATATGCCTGTTAGAGAAATTACCCTGTTGAATTAGATATTCCCTTCTCAACCTTTTACCAGGCTGGATTTCTGGAGGAGCAGAGGCCTTTTCCTTTAATCCTGGTAGCTCTAAGACCAATCACAAAGCAATGGTTAAGTATCTGCTGAATGAACCACTGGGTTCCAGTGTCAACTCTGCCATACCTAACCATGCCATATCACCTGTTTGGAACAAAGTTGTTTCTCACATGTAAAATGAGGAAATTCTAACATCACATGTAGGTCAACTTAATCTTGAATCAAATGAAAGGAGCATGACACCAAAGAATAATAAAGTAAGTTGAATAATGTGTAAACACAGTTTGTAAGAATAAAATCTGCACTAGCAGCCATTGATTACATGACTAGGAATCCTGAATACAACTACTCTTAAACAAAACAATAGTTGCATTCACGGAATCAATGAGTTGGATGATCACCTTCTTACCCTTATTGTGAAGATACGCTATAGCTGATGCAAGGCTTTGAATGATCCACCTTGTCTCATTCTCAGAGAAATGCCCTTTCCTATCCAGAATTTCTTTGAGTTCTCCATCTTCACAAAGTTCCATCACAAGGTACATTCTCTGGTGTTGCAAACATAAAAAAAGACACACTAAATAGTTGCGGATCTTTAAAACTGTTATGGATTGCATATATGTGTGCACATAGTGGAAATCTTTTTTTTAATCATTTTATTAGGGGCTCATACAACTCTTATCACAATCCATACATACATCAATTGGTAAAGCACATTTGTACATT